CTATACAGATCGAGCCCATCCACCCCTGTCGGTGAAACGATCGAAACAGACGACGAATCTGTAATGAAAACGTTCATAATAACGATGGATTCCCGAACGGGGGGTTTTTGCGCGCGGAGAACGTTGGCCCCGTGTGTACCGTACACATTTAATTTGCATCGTATAAATCGTGTTTCCGGTCGAGCACGCAACGCAAACACGCGTTACGTGTACGCCCTCGGTCCTTCGTCGCGTTTTCGATTCGCCCAGCACGGAGGTGGAGAGAAAGGAACGCGCGCGCGCGCAAGTGAGCGCAGTACGCTTTTGCATGCCGCGCGCCGTATTGTAACCCTGGTAATTTATGATTCGATAAATAAATCAGCCACGTTTTATCCTCTCGACCCCGGCGCGGTGCGATCCGTGCGCGCACACTTGTAAGATGATTTCGGGGGTTACGCCCAGTTACCGTCCGCGGATCACCGACAGGGGTAGCTCACCCCTTTCTTTTTTCTTCCCGTCTTCCGCTCTCCAAACACTTCACTGTTTGCACGTACCTGCGGAGAAATGTAGCTGGCTGAATTCTTTTTCTTTTCCTCTTTTATGTTTTCCTCGTATTTACAGAAGCTTTTGAAGAAATAACCGCGCGACCAGGACGCGGGAAAAAGTGAAGAGGGGCACTGGAAACGATGCAGAGCATGGGATCGCGGAATAATTTCTTGGACTTTTGGAATGGTTATTTTTAAATGAAACGGATTTACGAGCTCGGTGAATTGGAATTTTATTTGTTGGTATTATTTAGTTTTTGGTATTGTGCTGTGAGAATTTGTTTTCTGTAAGTTTAACGTATTTAAGGAATTTGTAAATAATTGAATTAGCTGTGATTGTACGCGATTTTAAATTAGACGTGCTTTGTGTAAGTATATATTTGATAAATAATTGAGAAAGACAATTTGGCAGAATTTATTTTGTAATAACCGAATGATTGGAGTAATTTATATTAATGTATTTCGAAATTGTTATCAACAATGATATATATTCTACATTCTATAAATTTATGGAGAATATTATTACATTCAATGATAATTAAGTTGTAATTCAAGAACAGCAACTCGTTCAATAATTTTGATATAACACGGGTAATACTCAAGGCCACAACGAATAGTAACCTTTAATAATTTTCTCTAAAGATTAAATTAATGTTTCATAACGGTTGAGCTGTAATGAATAAAGTGAAATGAATTAATAGTTTAATTTTTATTATTTATTAAAAACATTTTATTAAATATTATATTATTATACCGTTTCCATTAATTATTGTTTTATTTTACCAAATTGTGCTTGCCTAACAAGCAATTTACGAATATTCATGTAAATAAATTATCTATTTCATTTCATAGAAATGGAAGTGAAATAAAGTGTTATACTTTCTTTAAAGAAATTTGAAAAAATGAATAATTAAATAATAATATTGCTATGTCTTCGTTAACAGTTTAACACGTTGATTGCCACGATGGACATTAAGAACCAGAGCTTCCAAATTGCTTGAAAATAATTGCAATAAGAAAATTGATACAGAATAAAAATATTTAGTAATAAAAGTAGCTAGATAACAATGTAACATTACTACTGTGATACTAACGTAGCAGTAACCATTTGTCATTGTTACAGAAGTATAAGTATTAACCCTTTGCGGTTGAACCTTGTCATAATGGTAACTTCCAACTTCGATATCTAAAATCGAAAAGTGCAATTGAATAATTCAGTTATTCAACTAACGAGAAACCGACATATGGTTTTTTTGTTTTAGTATTTAAGAATTCGACGCCTAAGTCAGGTTTTTATGAAAAGAAATGTTAGAAGTTTAAGACAGTCTCGTCCGCAAAGAGTTAATAGAAAATTATCGACCGTTAAGGGGTAATGTATAAAACGCTTAAAATTCTCGTAGAAGTCAACGTGTTAATGTTATTGTCTTCAGTTATAATTAATTCTTTTTATTATTAGTGGTTCAGTAATGCGTTGGAAAAACATAATGACTAAAGTAGCTATATAAAATTATGGCTAGACGTAATGGACATTTCAGCGGACAGTCAAATGTTCATGGCCGATTAATACCGAGACTTTAAATATAGTTAGATGGAAGCACAGGCTCGAACCCCTTCTAGATCGGAATACTGAATAAACTGGGCTCCATTTAAAGCGCGTGCGGGGGATTCTCCACGGTCGCGTCCACATGTCCACCAATTAGACACGCTGGATAAAATCACTGTTACCCTACGTGGTCTGCACGCAATTATTCATTTTTCGCGTCAACAGACCGCTTTATTCTCTGACGCCTTTTAGATAATATTTTTTTAAATATAATCAAGCATGAGAAACCCTTTGTCCCTTATCACGTTAGATGGAACAAATGTTTCTTGAAACCGCTTCGTGATGTAACAACATCTTGCAATCTTAGAGTGTGTAACTGAGCTGTAGTTTCTTTGCAATTTCATCTTACAATGAACTGATTTTAATCGATGTAAATTAGACAGACGCTTGTTCAACAGTCTAAAGATTGAACTAAATTGAAATTGAGACAACGATTTTTATGTATTTCATAGAAGTTTCCATTTTCCTGTGTTATGTGCGATCGTGTATATGACAAGTTAAAAAATGTACAATGTTTTTTTATAACATTTTATTCAGACCTGGGTTTAGTAAAAGGAATCATTTTATTTTAAAACTTTGTTGTAATTTTGCTATTTTGTAAATTTCTAGTTTGTTCTAATTCCTTTATTTTTCTTTTAACCAATTAAAGTTTTCTTCTCTGCATTTTCTACTAAATTACATTTTTTAAAAATAAATTTATGAAACTAGAAATTAAATCAATATTTTTCCTACAGAGACTTAACAAATATGGAGGCAAGTAAGTTTATGTTCTAAGGTTTCTGAATTTATTCTATAAATATAAAAATATCCACCGATTACAAGGGACACGCTTTTATATTATACCCTTATTAACAAACGTTGGAATCATGTTTTCATTGATCAGAAGATTGCTCTACTTGCTCGCTCCGCAAAACTAGCCAATTTATAACGCGCTACAAGTAGAATCTTCTTTAATATGATCTCAATGAATGCCCCCGTTACCTAGCCATGTTGTGACAATGTTTAGGGAACGTTTTGGGGTCTAACATTTGTGTACAGCCCCCTTTTTAGGCAGTTTTCATTGTACGATGAAAACCCATCGGCAATTGACAAATGGTGGATATTAATTTTAACGTACGAAAATTCTATGTGACACCACCGTCAGGGGACACTAACTACCTTCGTTCCCCAGCTTCATGATATTCCCATAGCCATTCCGTAATCCGTTAGATATGTCCAAATAATAATCAATTATAATACGAAGTATAAAATTTCAAGTTTGAATAAATAAAATTTTTAATTCATAACAAATTGTTATTACTGTAAAAGTTATTACTTAAGCTGCAGTTGATTACTTAAATACAGATATTTTATTATGAAAATATATGTGAATGTTATCATAAATAATATCGAAACAATTTCATAATTAAATTTGTAGTGAAATAATTTATAATTTATAATTGTATAATTATATTTTCCCCGTCCTATTCCGTGAAATTTCTGCAAACTATTTTGATTATTATAGTATCCGCACTATCAATCGACAATAACAATAATAATAGAATTCATGACAAAATGGAAGTATTACCACATTAAGAAGATAATGTATATTATCATTTAAATTAAATTGCATTTGATATATTCAATACAATTTTTCAAGACGTATCGAAGAGCACAATTTTAAATTATTTAATTAAATAGAAATACAAAAGCTTCGAAAATAATTAAGTAAACGTGAACAAATGAATAAATAAGACAATAGGATAGAGTTTATTGGACAGAAATCCTAACGGGGTACAAAAGGTAAGTACTTCGAGGTCGGGGTAAAGATGCAAAATGGCGGCGGCGTATCAGACGGAAATACGTTCGAAAAGGTAGGCGACATTGGGAATTGAAAAATAGTGCCTTGGGCCGCTGTCGTTCACAGTGATGGCTTCGTGACAGCCAATGTAACGCACGAATTAACGAAATAATTGATTTTCATACCGTTCGAGTAAGCGGCGCGCACAAAAGACCGAGCGAACCGATCGCCGAACCGAGGAGATATTTTCTCGATTTCCTGACCACAGGTGCATCCACGTTACTGCGCCGTGTATAAAAAAATCCCGGCGCTCGCCTTGGGCAAATTTTGCTATATACTACGAAATCACCGATCTTTCTATCGTATGTAACTTTTCCTACAGCTGGATCTCGGCTTATAACAACGTACGTTTCAGCCCTCGAGTTTCACAGAATAATTTGTAAAGATACGTAAAACCATGAAAATAAACAATTTTTTGTAAACTACCTTAGACACGTTTTCTGTTTGTTCAATTTCGTTGAAGGTGCATAAAGAACGAAATAATATTTCCAATGAAGCATTTGTTAATTCAGGAAACATTTTAATTTATTGTATGAGCTATTCATTTGTTGATGCAACTAATTTCACAAGACGAAAGGTAAAAAAAATTAATGGAATTAGTTGTATAAAGAACCAATGAAATGTTTTGATAAAAAAATGTATACACGTTAGAAAATAGAATTATTTTATTACGTGAATAAAACTAATGTTACATAATTCTAGCCGATGTAATCGCAAATAAGACACAACGAGGGTTTAAAACCTAGAATTCAAGTACTTAACTGTTACGAAAAAATTGTGAATACTAATATATATAAGTAAATTTATGTAATCCGATAAATATTTACTGCAACTGTTCACCACACCTCTGGTTTTCCGTCAAATGACGCATAAATTTTTCGCCTTTCACTAAAGATTTCCATTGAGAGGAACAACTGATGGATCCATAAAATAATCTTTTACCAATTAAGTCAGCTCATATAAATTAACACGTTAACTTCCACGAAAATGTCGAGCGATTTACATAACACTTATTCTACCTTCGCAAAGATAAATGGGAACAATTGTTAATTATTTGGCATAACAATTCTCACATTACATTATTATCAACTTACTTATATCATTGAGCATTTTTATTTAACATCCATCCTCTTACACATTATAATTTTTTTCAAGCGATTCAAAATCATCGGTCAACCACACTAACATAATAGACTAACAAAATTCTGTTTTTCCTACAAATGTAGTGTTCTTTTGTCAATGTAGGAAGTTACGTGATTAATATATTATTTTACAGTAATAAAATTCTTTTTCTTCTACAAATGTAATGTGTCTGTCAATCTAGAAACCTATGTAATTAAAATATTGTGTTACACCAATAAAATCCTTTTTCTCCCACAAATATAATATTTTTCTATGAATCTATCCACATGTTGTCCACGCCTTATTCCAAAATCCAGAGGATCCAACACGTCAGTCGGCGATTCCTAAAACTAAAGGAAATCGGCGTGTCTCGTAACGTTAATAGGCAGACCGAAGGAGAGATTATTCGTAGCCGGGCGGATAATGTAAGCCGGCGAGCACGAGCCGCTATATGGATGGGGGTCGAGGGTGGAAACGAAGGCGGAAAAAGAACGGACAGGGAGAAAGAGAGAAAAGGGGAGAAAACAGATTTATATTTGAAATTAGATTAAGCTTCTGCGCTTGAAAGCTATATAAACGTTCCTCTACCCGCCGGTGCCGTGTACGTTCCGCGTTCCGCAATCCACTAAGAGGAGAGACTCAATAAACCAACCACTCACTCTTTCTTCCTCCATCTTTTACCACCCCCACACTCCACCCCCTGTTTTCCGTTCCCCGTCTATCCTTGTCCCTCTCCTTACGTTCTCTCTGTATTTCACGGGATCCCAGACTGTTCTTTCATTCCTCCCTATCTGTATTTCTACCAATAAAACAACCCACTCTTCTTATTTCATCCTCCACCTACGACTTCGCGAAGTACGATCGTAACCGCGCGTGTCTTTATTCCCCGCGGAGGAATATCACTTCGCGAATTCTCGGCATGCACGTTCTTTCGGAACGCTGAGATATTGGACGAGCGCGAAAGTTCTGTCAGTTCCTACGTTTTTGGTTTTACTGAAAGAAGTAAAATAGAAATTCTGCTTTAACGCGTTGACTGTCGAACAAATCCTCACCTAAACTTTGTTGTTCATAGATTAATGGTACACCTTGTATAAACATCACCTACTATTATGTTATAGTTTTATTATACTATAGTTATTCAACATGTCGAAATACCTAATATAAACAAAGTATTTACGTGTTAACACTTTGACTGCCAAGTAAGGACACATCAAAATTTCTATGCAGTCGAAATAGTTCTCTTAATGAAGCAGAAACTGAAAAGTTGAGATTCTTAGTAGCGATTGCTCTACTGTCTTTCTTGTGGCATACCCTCGTTGAAGGGTTCGGTGCAGTTTTCCAAATAACTGATATTTGTATTTTAACTAGATCAAGTGTGAATGGTATCTGGAAAATACTACATTTTTTGCATGTATAGTAATGTATTAGGAACCAGACGTTTTGACATCATTTGCATTCACTGAAATTCAATCATAATCATACAAATCTAAGATTTCTCGCAATTCAATTTTTTACGGTACGTTGCTGCTCTGGTATTAATTCAACTATTCTATTTGTAATTAACTATTTTATGCACTTTCAGGAAAATGATAACAGGAAGCAATAAACAAATTGATGAAAACATTTTATTGTATTGACTTGGATTAATTTATAGATATATAGGTAATAAAAGCATTATTTATGTAATAAATATGTAGTTTCGCTTTAAAGTGACAGAACTTTTTCACTCCAGCAATACGTATATACCACTTTGTCACTGTATTTTATTTTTTCCCGACAGACATTGACTTAAAATTTCTTTCCGATTTAAGCCTGTTCACAATAGGGTAAATTTTATTATGTCTCCGATTCCCAATTCACTGTTGCCATTCAAACTTCCTTCGTTAAAAGCACCGTCCGCCATATCTATCAGCTAATAGAAACTCTCGTGGTCGCAAATCTTTCCTTTCCTTACTTTTTAAAATAACGCGAGAAGTTTCTTCGTGCGAAAAATTTCATAATTTTTTCTTGTTCTCAATAGCTTTTTGCGCTTTTTATTTTGCCAAACTCACAATTTGTATGTATTTCCAGAAAAAAATTATAATGGAAAATGGAGAATTTGAAAAGATAAAAGATAATGAAAGATATACATTATTTAAATTCGACTAAAAGAAAGTCGGAAACACAACGTTATAAAACAAATTTCGTCACTTGTATCGCTATTTTAATGACAAAATCTTGCTACATCGATTACTTTCGGTAGAGGTATAACTACTAGAAATTAAAATTGAAATGCACTGTTCAGTGAAGTATTCTTTAATGAATGAAATCACGATAAACATAGTGTACAAATTATTGAGCAAAAAGCATTAGGTATAAATGAAAACAAATAGTTTCATTAAAATGAAATCACAAGCAAAAGCAATATGTTTCACATATTACATTTTTGTAATTTAAATTTGTTCATGATCGTTCTAATTGTTTCACATTGGAGTTTGTAACGTTCCTGGTCCCACGCCATACCCGTATCCTTGCGGTCCAAAATTTCGGACATAACATTCTAAGTATACAAAAAGAAACGAAACCAATGATAATCATTTATATATTATGAAGAAAAATTTTCAAAATCAAAAGAGTAACAAAATCATATATACGTAGACTAACGTTTACAGTATATCTCTCCGCAATTTTCTTGATATGTCAGTGGTTCCAATGGTTTTCTGCAGCAAAAACAACTGAAGCATATATTGTGATAAGGTGTGCCAGACACCACCTTAAACAAATGTCAATATCAACCATTATTATGGCCGCATTTTTAAAACAATTAATTCTCTATGACATAGAAAAATGTTAATTGATTAAAAATTAATAATTTCTTAATTATTTTAAATTACCTGCATTTCAGCTTGGTACACTTTCCTTCCACAGCGCTGGCAGTCAAGTCCTCCACCTAAGCACTCGCAAATGACTTTCGATCGGCAACATCCACTCTCATTAAAATCTGCTCTGTCGGTACTGCATCTTCTTCGACTCACTCGACATGCAGGACTTTTTGATCTGTATATGCAAAACATCACCATTCCAGCAACAATGATGTTAGCTTAAGTGAGATGCAGTATAAAATAAACAATATGATCAAAGTTTTTATTATGTATCTTGGAAAACTTGTCCCATAGAAAACGAAAGGAAACTCCTGAATATTCAATTTAGAAATGAAGGACTTTTTAAAGTTTCGCCAAATCTAAAGTATTCTTTCTCCTGTTCAGGTTTAAAATGCGATAGGTTAATAAAAACAATTCCTATTCAACATATGAACATACAACGCGTACCTTTCTAAGAATAACAAATGTATATCAAAGGTATTCAATATTCTAAATATCGCACTGGAAAAAAAAATATTTAAGCGATACTCAGATGACCTTTATTTACACTTTGTTTCAATTTTAAATCATTCATTATATAATGCAATTACGAAGTTTTATCGGTACACATGAAGAGTCGAATGCAAAATTATCTAGTGCCTATAAAAACAAGATTAACGAAAAAAGCCACTAAAACAATTTAATGATACGTTAAAGCGAAAGAAAGAGGATTGCTAGGATTTACAACCACCATAACGCAACTCTTTTGTAACATTTATCTCATCTACGTAAACATTCTCTTACCGACTACAGCAACTTGTGCTACCACCAGTATTTGGACAACAAGACGAACATTTTCTGCAAGAGCAAGATGGTTGCGGAGTGCAAGGTCGCGGTGGGGAACAAGGTGAACAGGGTCGGCATGGAGTCGGGCAAGATCTTGCCGGCAAATACGTTTGCCCAGGTTTTCCGCAACCACCGCGACATCCGCCTCCGCAACATCCTCCACCGCCACAGCCTGGAGAGTCCGTACACATTGGACGACATTTAATGATCGCTTTCTTGCAAATTGGTCGCTCGTTCGTTGGTGGACAGCAACTACGCCGATCGGTACACGGTGATAAACAAGTTGAACAAGAAGTACGACATGGTTCCGATTCTCCTAAGGATAAAAACCACGATTCATTGTTTCCTAATTTCTGTAGAAGTTTCTAGATTACGTGTTTAATTTGTTAGTTAGAAAATAATTATTATTACTTCTTCCGCAGTGGCAAGCAGTTTCTATCACTTTAACCACGCCGCATGAGACTTTGGGTCGAGGTCCACACGGTGAGTAAGGTCCACCGCAACCTCCCCTCATACGTTCGTTCTCATCGAGCCCTATCGACGAATTGAGAGCATTTTGGTACGTCGTCGAGTCTTCTCTAGAGGTCTCATCATCTTTTTCGTTCATTGTTCGGTTCTGACCAGAATTCTTCTCGATGTCATTGCACTTGTTTAGCGCCTCTTCTCCGTCGTTGCAACACTCCAAGGCGCTTTTTTCAAAATGTATTCTGCCATTGTCCTCGGTTTGACTTACATTTACATTTTCGTACCCGCCGTCATTTTTACCGACCGGATCGTCCGCTTGCCAAATGTCGTAAGAACTATGATATTCCTCGCTACTATCATTATTGCAACAGGCCCTACGACGAACATTTTGCATATTCGTCATACAATTCTGGTTGTTTTCGCGTATATCCCCGAAGACGACGTCGCTGAACGAGACTCGTCGTCGGGAAGGCAGCGGATTACGAGGCGGCGGTACCGGCGGATACGTAAATTTTCGCCTTGACGGAATAATGACGCTATTAGCGCTAAATTTGCAAGCGGCATCACATTTGTTAATTTTATTACTCCAGTTGATAGCTGGCGCTTGAGTTTTATCTGCGCTGGAAATGTCTACGCTTAGAAAACTACATTACTGAACTGTGAGCCAAACTGGGAATTCTAACTCAAGAAAACAATACAGAAACTTTAAGAAAATAAATATATACTAAAAACTATAAGACCGATCGTTTTTCTCTGAAAATGTTGAATACAAGCCTATGCTGATCAATTCTGCATCTATATTTACATATTTTTCCGAAAATAATTCGTATTAACAAGTAGTCAGTATATTATATTCTAATATTGTTTACAGAAATTCAAGAAATGTAACATACCTTAGTTGGGTTTCTGTAATATCGATTTCATTGTTACTGAGTGGTGGGTTTAGCTCGGATAGGTCAGTATCTAGTTGCGCTTCGAATCGACAATCCTTCGTAATATTATTCTTCTGCGATTCCAGAGATGTGCTATTTAAATGAAAGTGTTATTGTTATAGCTGGATTTCAATAATCATAAAAAAAACTCATGATCTAAGGTAGAGCCACTCAGTTGATTCAAAGTACTTAGAAAATCTTCAAACAAAACTGATAATTTACTGCATAACGTCAGTGCTATTTGAGATAAGCTCTTTCTAAAAAAATATATATAAAAATATAATGCAGTATCTAAAGAAGGAAAAAGTTATGTAAAAATTTTCATCCGTTGGCAGTACTGTTGTAAACTACAGAATTATAGCGACAATAAATTTGAACCTGCGAATTTTAGAATGCTGTCGATTATACCACGTAGTGACTGCAGTAGGGCTAGGTGGAGGGTCACAAAGCGTTGACATTGAATTGGTAGTACTCAAATTAGCGTATTCGTTCTCTAAATGTTTTTTTTCCTTATCAAAAGAAATGTATGTCTCTCCAACTTCGCTGCCTCCACCACGAAGTCTACACTCATCGGATTGGTAATGTCGTTTTCTACTTAGCGACGTGTTACCGATGAAACTTTCAACGCCACAAGAACAATAATTCAATGAATTCTGAGCTAAACTTGCAGGCGAATGAGTTTTCGATATAATTTCATGATTATTGGCCGAATAAGACTGACGAACGTAACAATTCTTGCAAAATAATTCACCGAGATGGGTCACCACGTTGCAACTGTTAAGTAATTTTCGACAATTACCTAGGGAGTTTTAAAAATTCATCTTCTGTAGATATAAATAAGTACGAAAAAAAATGTAGATCGGTCATATTGTAAATTAACAATGTTACTAACGACAAGAAAAACAGAACGTGTGCCAAACTTTTCCAAGAGCCAATTTTTCTTCAGCGAAGTAAACCTCGCGATTACAGCGCGGACAAACTCCAGGCATTTATCAATCGACATAGATTTCTTCTTACAGTATTTAATGGGACATGCCACACAAATTTTGAATATAATTAATAAGCGTAACTCATTTAATAATCAATGTTCATTTATAAACAAAGTTTTCTCCATTAGCCGCTTTAAATGTGTTTTGAAGTTTGGAATTGTTTAAAAATTTTATGAGTCGAATAATAATCCAACATTTAATTGTTTCGATATTTTCACTTTAAGAAAGATATTACTTAATGCCCCTACCAATTTGATTGATTCGCCAAAAAAGTTATAGAACATTTAACGCTAATAACTGATCGAGGAAAAACAAAATACGGTTACTAGCATACATAAGAAGGTAACTTCAAGTATTCAAATGCCAACAGTGAAACTATTTTAAAATGAAAATGAACATATTTTAAAACGTTGATTATTTTAATTATGGCTTGCTATTTAAGTTTAGTTTACTAATTGAAAGTTAGAAACATGAATTAAAAACCCACTATGTGAATGTAATTCACGAATTATAGTGATAAAGTTTTATCTAAGTTATTACTAATATCTAAACTTGAATATGTATAGTTGATACGTATAAAAGTGTACATAATTCATATTTTTGAACTGAGAAAACTATAATTTGCACCATATTGGCGAATCTATGAAGCAAAGAGTGAATTTGGATTTGAGAAACCTGTAGCAAACGTCAAGTTGCAACGCAAGTGGCTCTCCAAAGAGGTTAAGGGGGCTGCTCAATAGAAATGGCAGCAATAAAGGGCCTGGGTAGAAATATCCCCTATCTGAGGCAACAATTTGCTGCCCTTTTAGGAAATACCAGTACCAGTGTAAAATTTATATGTATTGTAGTCTTGTTTTCCTATTGCCTCTCTTTTTCGTCGGAAGCGATACGCGTTCTGAGTGTGACACCAGGTTACTTACTGCCTCCAGCATTTTGGATCTGGACGGCGTTTACATTTTGTTTCCTTGAAATACATTTTTGGGAAGTATGCGTGGACATTGTCACAGTGGGATTGTGCGGCAAATTAATCGAGCCGCTTTGGGGCGCGATGGAAATGATGACTTTCTTCGCTGTTGTTAATTTTGGCGTTGCTGTGCTGTCAGCTTTATTTTATTTGTTTTTATATATGTGCACCAGCGATCCAGATTTATTGTTTGGAATACACATTCATGGATTAACTGGATATATTGCAGGTACAGCCTTTACAAGTAGTAATTTCTGTTGAAAATTCTCTGTTGTTGTGGAATATATATATACTTCTTTATATTATTAATATATACCATGTGTATATCATTCATGTATATTTTCAAATATATAGATCTATATTGCACTTCAGTGTAGTTAAGTTATTGAAATTATTCTTAAGCTATTATTTATTTTAGGCGTTGCAGTTGCTGTAAAACAAATAATGCCAGATCATATTTTAGTTAAAACACCAATTGGAAAAATTACAAATAGGAACATACCACTAATGGTGTGGATTATGGGAGTGTTATTATGGTTGTTTGGATTATTGGAAGGAACTAATCCAACCATGTTTCTCAGTGGATTATTAATATCATGGATATACCTTAGATTTTATCAAAAGCATAATAATGGTACACGTGGTGATATGGCAGACAATTTTACATTTGCAAGGTAAATTATATTTTAAGATATTTTAGGTGAATTTAAATTTGTATTTACTCCTATAATAATACGTATTCTTACAGCTTTTTCCCTAATGTTTTACAACCACCAATAGCCCTTGTAAGTAACATGATACATGGATTCTTTGTACGGATTGGATTATGTAGAAAAGTAGTTAGAAGATTTGATATGTCCAATGCGCCTCCTGGGCTGGTTATAAACCTTCCTGGTATTGATCCACATGACAGTGATAGGAGAAGGTTTGTCATATATTTTCATATTTTATGAAATCTCAGTTTGTTGGTCAATTTAAAAATTTATTTAATAGCATTATTTTTATATTCTCTATTATGTTCATTGTTTCAGGCAAATAGCATTAAAAGCTTTAAGTGAAAGATTAAGTAAAGATCATGCGAAACCATGGCAACAAGATCGAGCTAAGAAACACTCTCCGGTTCCTCCTGCAGTTTCAATTCCAATTCCAGAATCTAATACACCTAAACCTCTTGCATCCCCTCTCATTCCACAAGTAAGCGTAAACATACATAATCACGCTTCTACTAATACGTGATTACTTCAAATAGACTGATTTCAATAATTGTATGGATAAATATGATAAGGAGCTTCTAAAGAAAATGTTTTCTGAACCATGTTGACAATATGGCTATATTCAATAAGAAGAAAAGAAGACGTAAGAAAGTATTTATAATAACATTTTTTATACTGCATGAATTTCAATTGCATTTTGGAATTATCAAGTTATATTAATGAAGCGCTTACTTGGTAATTGTCTCTTGATAAGTCCAAAGAACAAAATATAACACTCAAGCGGTGCCTTGGTATTCATAGATTTCAATTAGTTCATGTATCCATCCTTGAGAATCAGTCCTTAATAATATAAACATTGAGTTGATTTGTTCTTTGGTGTTATCAAAAAATGAATTAACAGAATGCTTCTATAATGTACACATTATTTGTAACCCCTGTTATTTATTTAGCAATCGTAACAAATTTCTTTTAGTTGTCAATTATTTATATTAACATAAACATACATTTGACAAGCTTTTCTTACATACTGTTACTTCATAAGATTTATTTAAATAAATCATCGAATTTTATTAAAATATTTTCTTAAGTCTATCTCTATTGATTATAGTGCTCGTATTAATAATGGTACAACAACGCAGTCTTTAGAAGATTCTTACACAAGGTAAATACAACAAAATCAGTCTTTCTATCTTGTGATTCTATTTTTCAACAAAATCGAATTCTTTGTTACTAAGAACTGTGAATTCTATTTATGTATTTCTGTACAATCCGTACGTGATAAATAATTTAAATGCTTTTAATGAATTGCTGTATAATGGCAGCTTTTTCCATTTATAACATTGTTTAATGATAATTGGAAAATAAAAAACATTATGAATAAAAATAATTGAAAACTATACTGGCTTCCAGTGCAATGCTACGCGATACGTTCACTAGAAACATTTAAATTTGGAAAAAAGACTAGTGTTTCTCTAATTTGTTATTTAAGCAGATGTTTCATGCCACCTGTTTTGCCATTAAATGCATTATGCGATGTAAGAACGTAAATATGTAATGCATGTACATAAATACGTTAAAATCACATGAATTTGAGTCAAAAACACGTACATCACATTTTGGAACTATAATTTATTACTAACGCTGTCCTTGAGATAAAACACTTATATTATCTTTCATATTGTTAGAGAACATTTTTAAAAAAGAGGATATAAGTTATTTCATTTTCAAAGTATCTATATTTTTATAATTTTTGTATTGTCATCAATTTTTTTCCAAAGTATGAAAGTTTTATATTGTACAATTAATTTTTTCTGTTTTGTGCTTTTAAGAATTACTTTGTTTATATTTTTTATCTAAGCATGTATATCATGCAAATGAAAATCTATTCCTCAGAAAATTGATTCAATTATTACTATTCATAATACACATGTGCATATTTTTAGATTTAAAGTTTAAATCACTCATACCTTCAATTTTTTAACTTTGCACAAAAACGATCAATATGTAGTTATTTACTAATTATAGTTATTTTAAGTAAGATTAATTTAATTATGACATTCATTCTTATAATGTCATGAATAACGATTCTGCTTACAATACAACAATCGGTTATCTTACAAGTACATATTGCAACATTTTTCCATTTATTAATATTTTTACTGAAATGTTAAACCTTCAGTGATGTACCTAGTTTCAATAGAATTGTTTAAAACATATATATAAAATGGTGAGTGGAAAGTAGTTCATATAAGTGTATAGCAATGTGGATAATATTTGATATACCAAATGAATTGTAAATACAAATGAGGAGCGATGTAAAATGTGAAGGGAACAAGACACTATAGAAATACAGTGATTATAGACATATTATGGATTAAGATTGAAAAACTATTTTTATGTATGACACAGATATGTCTCTTGAGAATGTATGTTGCGCATATTTTGGCCTTCCACTTAAACAAAACTTATATACAAATTCTTAAGTACTTTCATTATAAGATTTTTAGTCAATTAATATTTATTATTATAAGTATGACTAAGGTTGGAAGAAGCGAAAGGCCAAAATTAAGTGTGCGAATAAATGAATATTTGTTGATTTCATTAATTACAGTTTAAGGAACTAATGTAATAATTACACATTTATGTACATGTTATGTATAATGAGCTTTGTACATACGTTGAAATCGTTATTGTCTGTACAATATTAAATTCTACTGACAAAACATTTATCTGATATTTTCTTATACCGCATATGGAATAAAGTTATTAATACTAACATCACATATGCAGTATATAGTAGAAAAAACTTATTTTGAACTATTGATATTCTATTAACAGTTTAATTTATAAACATACAACTTATAATCTGTTACTTGTACATAAATAATAAGTGTAAAACATTTTCATACAAAGTAAATTATTTCTTTTTTCACAAATCCTTTTTCCAAGTCTATAGAAGCGCTAAGAATGGGAAGTAAATAAATGTATCCATAGAATTGAAACAACTTTATTACTATAGTATTATATAAGTTTAGTCATTTAATGCTGCATATATAATTCTTGAAAAGTATAAAATATTTTAAAGTTAATATTTCTTAATAGTAAGCAGCATCTATACAGAACTGGTATTTGTAACCATTAGTCATTGCTGCATATTGCTCACAACAGTTTTATCACAATGCATACAGTACGAGCACAGAACAGTACAAGTCTGTCATAGTAAAGGTAATTTCCTTTACCTATAAAACTGTTGTTGATGTTGTGACCATTGACTTTGAGGTGGAGGAGCTTGTTGTTGAGGTGGTGGTGGCCCATATGATGGATCTTGTATATACCCTGTTGGAGATGGCCTTATCGAAGTTGGCGTGGAAGAAACATATTGTTGTTGTTGTGGTGGAGGTGGTGGAACATAAGATACTTGAGCAGGATGCTGTGGCTGTGGATAGTATTGCTGTGTCTGTGAAACTGGAGGTGGCACGTTATATCCTCCATAATTAACTTGTGGCGGAGGAGGAGGATAATAATGATGACTTTGTTGCGAATGTATATCGTGTGTCGTTATAGATGTATCTTGAATAGGTACTGTTATCAGATTTGTTCTTAATGGAGCATTATTTGGTGGCGGTGGCGCAGAACTCTGAGAATAATTCTGCATTGATAGTAGTGACTGTGGCCTGTGCTGTTGTCTATGTTCTACTGGTGTTTGATTAACCATGGAATTTACTCTAGGATCGTTTCCCAGTATCGGTTGAACCATGTGTGATTGCACTGTCTTTATACGAGTATTCTGCATTGCAACAGATGGGACTTTTGTTAACTGAGACTCTATTTCTGACTTAGTATGCACATATTGGGGAGGATCAACTTGCATTCCTTGAACTTGTTGCGGTGGAGCTGAGATGTGGCGATGATTTATATGAGCCTGTATAAATCACATAATGCAATTCCAAACCAAAATCCTTTTTTAAAACATACATTATGTTTTATGAAATTACCTGTAGATCTCTTTGACTAAGATATGTTCTTCTGCAACCAGCGTTTCCATATCTAGTTCCTCCATGCGTACACATGAATACAGTACCCAAACCAGTTTGCTCTACTCTAGAAACTTTTTCCATACAACGTGGACAAACTTTGTCTTCTCTTTTAGCACAGGATAAGCAAAATACGTGTTTACAAGGTATCTGAAACAACAATTTCCAATGTTTATATATACAATATACACATTTGTTTATTTTATTTGAAAATTAAATGTACATATACTGCTTACCATACGTCCATAAATGAGAATTGGTTTTAAACACTTGTCACAACAGTGTATCATAGGATTTAATACTTTCTCTCCAATAAGATTAACTCTATGGTCCCATCTTAAACGGAGCATTGGTTCAGGAGGTCCTCTATTAATGGTTGTGAAAGTTGGAGCTTCCAATTGTGATATATCTGCCTCCAAATCAAACTGTTGCTCCAAAGGAGGTTGTTGCGTTGGTGGAGCTTCATGTTCTTCCAATTCTGCTCCAGCTGTTTCTGTCGGAGCTTCTTCAACTTGTTGAGCAGTATCTTCTTCATCACTCTCAATGACCTGATTCAGATAATTAAAATAACAATTACTTCTATGTTGCAGGTTATAAATATTGAATACACATATTAAAATAAAGTATAAAGTTTGTAACATGAAATAAAAAGAAGTTTACCTTCACTTGTTTTTTAGATCTACCCCTGGCACGACCTCGTGCTCTACCACGTGCTCTACCACGAGTCCTACCTCTCATTCTTTTACCACCATCTTCCTCCATCACTAAAACAAATTTTCATTACTTATGAAATGATAAGTCAGTGGTACATATCTGTTAAGAATTGATTATTTTATTTTTAAGCATAAAACTTAAGAAACAGGAAAAAATATGAAAGGCAATTAAAAGATATGCAAAGAGAGAATGTCACACACTGCTTAAAATGTAATACAGAAAATATAAAAAATGATTAAGACTGTATATAAAAGTTCAACACTATCAAACTTACTAATTTAATACATTACATACATGGGTAAAATGTATAAAGTGATTTTTAGTTTCAATGTTTTATGCTCAAAGCATCATCTAACAATTATAGGTTATACTTCTATTTCTATATAGAGCAATTTCAACTTTGAGATTATACTTGCATTGAAAGTATTTATTGAAACGAGTTCCGTGGTAGGATCACATTACTTAAACAATAAATAAAAGAACAAATTTTTATTACTATGCTCCCCAATACATAGCACCAAATCTCAACATTTTACATAGGTGAATGAAGAAATAATCTGTTGCTACAACCTTCATTGTAGTAATCCATGTGACGTAGTATTGTTGTCTCCTTGGAAACGAGTCTATGCCGTACAATCGCAGGAGTGTATATATGAAAATATGTACCCAAACTGATAAACGTTCAAAAATTCCTACATTAATACAATTTTTAACAAGTTTCATGTAAATACTTTCATGTAAATATTTTCTTTTCTTTTTGAAATGTGAAAATATGTAACAGTAAATAGATAGAGGTCAAAAGGATTTGTATACATTTGTTACATTATATATATATAGCATATTTATAGAAACGAAGACAACTTCATGGTGATTCGACGGAGGGAGTAGCTCCAAAATCCAAGAGACTTCATCAAGAGCCTTTAGACTTAAGTGCCTTGTTCTAATTCCAATCAAATTTTGTAAAAAATGTCTTGTTGTTCAGGCGAGGATGATGAAGAACAACGACCAGATCCAACACGTGTACGAGAATGCACAGATGTTTTCTGGCTTTGTTGTTATATAGCATTTTGGTTTCTTATGGTATGTAAATTTTAATATAATAATTTTATAGTTTTAATAAGGCGATTATAAAGAGTGTTTAAGAATCAGTTCAGGTATACCTCTTTCTTTTCAATACTATTCTTATATTATAGAAGTTTTGTACATTCTTTCTGAATATATGTTATTAAAATTGCACTGTAAATACTATTGAAAATGATACAAAATACTTTTTGTCATCTTAATGAGACAAATAAATTTATCAAATGAAACAAGAGTTTTTAATAATCTGTTCTTTACATAGATATTAATAGCTGCCTTTGCCCTTGTTTATGGTAGTCCATTGAGACTTATAAATGGATATGACAGTTTTGGAAATACCTGTGGTATGAAAAATAACCCTAAGTTTGGCAGTATGGAGCTTTCTGGACAAGATACTAGCGAGAAACCGTTAGTGTTAACATTTAAATTTTGTCTTTACATATTGGTCATTAATTATGTTATAATTTAATCAGTGACATTCATGAAGTTTCATTATTTTAGGTATCTGTTCTTCTTAGACATAAATAATGTTACACAGTCTCTAAAAATTTGTGTAAAAAAGTGTCCAGATAGAAAAATGACAACGATGAATGATATATGTAAATTTTATGAGGAAACAGGATCACAACTTTGTCATGATAAACCAGGAAATGATTTTAGCGCCTGTAGTAATGGAAATAGACAAAATAAAACGGGATCTTGTCCTGAGTTACCAGTATATAACAGTATACCAGTTCTTAATCGTTGTATTCCAAAAGTTATTAAGGATGTGGGAGAAACTATAGTCGCAAACTTGTATGGTTTATTTAATTCATGGGATGTTATTGAACAGATTTTAGGAGATTTATATAAAACGTGGAAAGAAATTTTGGCTTTATCATTTCTAGCCTTTGGTATGATCTGTTATGACTATACGATTTTAAATTCGATAAATTCTTAATTATATGTAGTAATTCTGTTTTAGTGTTATCTCTTTTTATGATTGCCATATTTCATTTATTGGCAAGTATTGTAACACAGATTGTAATGATTCTTGTCAGTATTACAACTATAGGTAAGTTACTTGAATGAATATGTAGAAAAAAGGTAGTACATTATTTATGTGTATGTAATTCTTATACAAAGATTGGTACTACAAGTTATTTTACTTACTCAGGCAAAATTGAAAGAAGGAATTATACTGACTGCCCCAGAATTTTCGAAGAAATACAGTTCCTTTCAGAATAAAGTTTTCAACATTCATAACCAACATTGATATTCAATTAACAAATTACTGAAGTATAAAATAAAAGTACTTTCCCTTGTATATAATTTGATTTATGGAATTGATCGAAAAACTGGATTAGGTTAACAGTTTCAAATCATAACTTTATCATAATAAACATTTCATTTTATATTAAATTTTTAATCTTAACTAGGCATCAGTTTATTTATAATTTGGTTATTCTATTTTTACAGCTGGCACAGTGTTATTATGGTGGACATACATAGAAATTAAAAGAACTTTAGATAAAACTGATAGAAATCAACTTCTCGAAGAATCAGTCAGAAATGAAAGAGCATTCTTGGTTTTTTCTATTGTTGCAACAATAATAACCGTATGTCACTGCTAATAAGTTAAAAAAATATAACATAGTATTTTTATTTCTATTTATTCAAATTACTTAATAAATATATTTGCATTTTAGATAATTTTATTATTTCTACTGGGTATATTGCACAAACGTATTGGATTTATGACAGCATTATTTAAAGAAAGTGCAAAATGTTTAGCAGAATTGCCAGGTTTATTTTTTCAACCTTTACTTACATTTGTTGCTCTAATATTATTCTTTGCATTTTGGGTGACTGTAATTCTTTGTCTTGCAACAGCAAGTAAGTACATAATACTTCAATCATAGAATGAAACTATAAAATAGAAAATTGTCTATATATACATGTATACAATAACTACAGATTATCCTGGAACAAAATCTGTACAAATGTATAAGAATCATATATTTGATCCTTTAAATTTGAGTTCAGTTGGAGAGAAAAGTGCCATTATTGAAGAGAAGAAATTTAACTTTTCATTGGATTCCTTTAAAAGTAATGTATCTATCTTCCCTTTTTTTATGTAAGAATCATTACTATTTTTAAAGCATTTCAGCTTTTACTCTTGTTGAGTACGTTGATCCTACTTGGGTAAAATACATGTGGTGGGTGTACATCATAGGATTAATATGGACATCTGAATTCATTATTTCTTGTCAAAATATGGTAATATCAGGTGCTGTTGCTCATTGGTACTTTAGGTAATAATATTATAATTTTTAAATATATATACATAGTAAAATGCGTATATCTGATGTATATTTGTTATTTTAGAGGGAAAAATGCTAGTGCATCTCCAGTATGCTCTGCTATGGGAAATTTAGTTTATTATCATCTAGGCTCTGTAGCTTGTGGCTCATTCTTAATAACAATTTTTAAGTTACCTCGTTTAATCTTGACATGGCTACATACTAAGTATGTCTAATCAGTAATGCCCATTTAATCAGTTATGTTTTTATAGTGTAATTTACATTTTCTTGTAGATTTAAGGCAACTAAAGAAACTTCTCCATGTGCTGATTGTGGTTTCAAATGTTGCATATGTTGCTTCTACTGTTTAGAAAAGTTTATTCGATACATGAATCATAACGCATACACTGTTGTTGCTATAGAAGGAACACATTTTTGCGATGCAGCTAGAATTGTGCGTTGTAGTTTAAGAGATATGTTTTATCCACTTTAATTATTGAAGACAATATCAGTGAAAATATTAATTATTTTATTTGATTTTATTGAATTTTTAGGCATTTACAGCACTAGTTAGTAATGCATTACAAATAGCTGTAATTAATGGAGTAGGAGATTTTATCCTATTCTTAGGCAAATGTTTTGTCACAGCTGCCACTGGAAGTATTGGACTATTATTTATGAAGCAGGATCCCAGATTATATTTTTATGCTGCACCTATTTTTATAATATGCATTTTTTCATTTTTCATTGCTCACTGTATTATTTCTCTTTATGAGGTATGGTATACATATTTTTTATACGAACTTATTACACATACTTGATACTTAAAATTTCATATCTTCTTACAGATGGTGATAGATACACTGTTTCTGTGCATTTGTGAAGACAAAAATTTGAATGGTGATAATGGAAAATGGCGTCAATCAGGACTAGCACAGATTGGATCTAATAATAACGCAAATGGACAACAATCTCAAGAATTAACACCAATGAATACATAAGTACAATTGTTAAACAGTTTTCTTCAAGAATTTTTATATTTTTACACAAATTTTGTTTTAAGAAGAAAGACATTCAGAACTGGATAAAATTTAATTATATTCTATTAGTGACTAAATTATGGCACTGCCAATTTCAATTTTTTGGTGATCCTTTGGGAGGTTAATTCTGATATTTTCTCTATCAGTATCCTTATTTTCTTGATTAAAGTAACACTCCCATTTTTTTCTGAAGACTTTATCTTCTTTAGTACTCCCAAAATCACATTTTACAAATGTTATTATAAATTTATATTTCTTAACCTATCTCGTCTTCAGTCGAAAATTGTTCAATCTACGATTTTATGCATTTTTTTTCAATGTAATTTTATGGATCTTTTTAATCTCTTATGTTGCTAACTCCTTCAGGAATACAGTGATAGTCTAGATAAGTTATTACGGATGATAATTTGATATGAGAGACCAATATACAGATGGTGGGTCTTGACTCAGGAATGTTAGGTTCCTGTTCCTGATTAATCTATAAGAAGATTTTTACTAATATGTCTTTGAGTAACCACTGTAGATGTGCTCGCTTGAAGTGTTTTTTTTGAGGTTTGGGACCTCAATGGAGTTTTCAAAGAGACCCCTTGTTGTTTCTTTTTCTTTCTGCGTAGTATCTCTTGTAAAACCTCCACTTCTGATTTTTCGTAATTTCCATTCGTTGTTTCATGAATCGGTAATTTGAAAAGATGGAAACATTCAACACTTAGGATTTGATTTTATATAAAATAGATTTCCCATACTAGGAAGCAATATTTTTAAATAAGTCAATAATTTGATATCGGAATCAATTCTACAAGTTCTTTTATTCATTATCTTATCCTACTATTATTTAAAATTTTGGATCTTTATATAAACTAAAATATAAATTTATTGTTTTTTAATATTTCTATTATCCTTTAAAATCCCGGAGAAGAATGTCTGAAGGCACATATTATATTTTATAATCATACCATTTTTTGTCATTTTATGATCATATGCTTAATTTTTTTTTCACAATTATGCTTGTTTAAAAATTGTGGAATATGTGTACTTATCAATTTCACATAAAAATTACTGCCAATCATCAGCACAAAGAATGTTTTTAATTTTGAATAATATTATAATTATTTTAAAACTCAAATTATATAATTTGTTATCCTTAATGTAATAGGAAATTTGATTACGTATACATTTCTAATCAATTAAGTTTTCTTTTTTATGGATGTACAAAAATAATGGTATTATCATATAACTATTTTATTGGGTCATAACATAATTGTATAATATAAAATTTTTTTTTGACAGAATTTTCCAATGTAGAAAAGTATTAATTCAATAACATACATTCAAGTGTATGTTATATTCACTTTTTTCCTAGATTCAGTTGATATTACATAACATTCCAAATTTTTACATTAGTAAAAAATAATTGTTACGACATTGCTTTATACACTCAATTATTGCTTAAGAAACTAATGGGCCTCATAAAAAAGTTACTTGTTGTGATCACAACATGCAATCAATGTACAAAGAACAAATTTTAATCATGTATTTATTCTTGTTCTGAAATGTATATTTTACATATATTTTTGTAATACAATGTTAACAGAAGAGATACTGTAGTGTATTGATCAAGAAAAAAGAATATATTTTACCTTTTAGAATTTTTATCAGTATTTATACTTGTAATGTAAAGGTACAATAACATAATTTTATATGCAAAGATATTGCAATATAGCTTCGTGTTATGCATGTAAAATGATTATGTATTATTTGCCTATACCATAAAATATGTTGCATATTTTAAAAAGGTGCATCAAATTTTAAGTCTGCTAAACAGTTTAAGGTATTATCAAACGTGGTCTCAATTTCTACAAATGTTCAGATTATATGCTTAACATTGTGTACTAACATTATAATGCACAATTTACAAACTCATGCATTATAATGTACAAAACAGATTGAAATACTTTCATAAGTATCTTTTTAAAATCAAGGTCAAGTATGTATTAAGATAACTAATGGTTGTAGGCAATTGATGTTCATGATTCGTATGTAACATAATATAGTGCATAAGACAATGAAATTATTTATTAGTTTTAAGTATCAATCACAATATATGTCACATCTTTATTATTTTACAAGTTATACATTCATTACATACTTAATCCGTTATCTAAAATTGTTAGTTTTGGTGTAATAACAGTTATATCACTACTATGCAATTTTATAAAAATAATTACAAAATAAAACACTTATATTTTTATATTTCTTATAAAAAATAAATAACACAGAAATTTTATATTGAAAATATATACCACTTGTAATTTATAAATATTGTATGCAATTAAAATTGCTAATAATGTTATGTGCTTTGCCTTAACTCGTTTACAACTTCACGCCGGCGGGTTACAAGATACGCGTTTCTCTGGTGCATAAGTGGGCGCCGGCGTGAACGTGTTAATATAATTAATTAATCTATACATGGTAGTGATAGTAAAAAATAGAAAGATATTGTTTAATACTTATTGAATAAAAACTTTATTAACATTATACCATAATATAAAATATAGATACAATTGTTTCATTATTTGCTGGTCTTTTTCTTTAAATTAGTTTTCTTTACCCTTTTTCCTAATTGTTTTTTAATATATTTTTTTCTTTTTATACTTTTATTTTCATTAGCTTTTGTTATTTTCGTTTCCTTAATTTCCTTTGTTTCTAATTCTTTTGCTTTTTCTAATGGGTCACCTTTGAATATCTCATCAATAGGATTTAATGAATATGATTCTTTGGGTTTATTAACTTCTTGGACTAATTTTTGTTCTACTTTGTTTATATATCTACCAGCAGCTTTTTTATTAATAGATTGACGAAACTATAAATTTAAAATTGTAATATATTTAAAATAATAAATTTGTTATCATACATGTATTCATCAGATTAAAATAAATGTAGATGCTTCATACCTTTGCAGGTGAAATATAAACTGGATTTTCCCAGAGTACCTCTCCTCCAAAGCTCCCACCAAATATTTTGACTGGATTCAATACAAATCTTGGACCAATTTCAGCTAATCCACCATCTTCAGTTAAAATTTGAAAATTCCTAAACCATATTCTGTTATCTAATATACTAAATGTATAAATGTGGTCAAAAAATGGTTGGCTTTTAGGGTGTTGATTTGGGACACCAAATATTTGAACGAATAATTCTTTCAGAAGACTATAATGTGGTTTATTGAAATTTTCATCAAATGATAGCAAGGGACGTGAACCTTTCAAACAATTTCCAGTCATTTTTAATTCTCCCATTGTGTAAACTATAAAAAAAATGTGTTACTTATGATCAAATTTGTAATTAATACAATTTTTTTATTCTAAAGAGAATTAAAAGAAACAATATTGCATTTCATTTTATCTTTAAAATCATTTTATAGATTTAACTTATTATTATTGTAGTCGATTTATAAACTTCTGGTTAATAATTATTGTCATTATAATAATGTATTGAATAGCTTATTATACATACTATTCTCAACTAAAAACTTAGCACTGGGTCCATCCGAAATATTAGAAAACCATAAGTAGAGATCCTTTTTCCTTCTGCCTTCAAATAATATTGTTTTATTACAATTTTTCATTTCACAGATCTCATTTACAACTTGCAACTTTTTAGTGCGTTCCATTTTTGATTCAGGACGATGATGAGGCATGAGTGTCTTTATATCATCCATAAGATGACGATGCCTATAACTAATTCCTCTAGTAGCAAAAACTAACACCCGCTGCTTGTTAATCCATTTCGTCTAAGCAATAAATATAGATGAAAACAATGATTTTGTTCACGTTTTAATTACATTAATAATTGTGTTTAAATAGACGTCTCGTAAACAGAATTTGGTTAAAATAAAACATTTTCAAACCTTTTTCAGAGGCGGTTCATTTGACATTCTCTTTGCTGGTAAAGTTTCTGCTACCGGTACATTTTCTTTATCTGCATCTATTTTCCTTTTACGTTTTAAATCTTTTTTTGTCATGGTTAAATCATTAGAAGTATATAAACAACTCTAGTAAGAATACTTTACAAAAGTAAGGTTAACAATACAGAAATGTAAAGCACCTCACGTGTTGAATATCATAAAGTAAGTAAATTACATAGACCCACAATTACATATAAAAATCAATATGTCCAAATCCTGCCATTTAGGCATAGATGCTAAATTGGTGTCCGCGGGCACTCTAGTGATACTCCCCTCACGAAAAGTTAGCTTCTCCATACCTAAGTACTTATTAAAGTATTTTTACCTATTGTATTAAATACTACATAGAGCTTTTCACATACTTAGTCTTGGGTAGCTCTTTGAGTAGAGGTAGTGGGGGAACGCTGTTTCCCAGTTCTGGCGTGAGGGGAATAAGTTACAGACACCTCTAGCATAGAGTAAGCACGAAGGATTTACATGTAGCATTTCTTTTCGGCAACCAATTTTTAATTTTTTATAAATACGGTTTATAATTTATAGAAAATGATGAAGGCGTCATCTATAAAGAAGTAGCAACCTGTACTATAATTATCACTGGCTTGAAAATTTGTGTAATTACGTTTTAATTAAAGATTATGAATATAAAGGATTCCTATAAAAGTTTTATCTTTTTAAGAGTATTTTCTATTTCAAAATTTATGGTACCTCGCTTTTGCACGTATACTTATCCACAATTTTAAAACTCTGTTTCTATTTTCATAGAACATAATTTTCGTATACATGTGTACCGGAAATTGACTTTCAAAAGACGAAGTTCCACTTTTTCCAGAGTCCTCTGTGATTTAAATTTTCAAGAAATAATCATACTAACTGCGTTATAATTTGCAGAATATATTTTATGTTTTGATCTGTTCTATTAAAGTAGTTGTAAAATTATTAACAAGATGTAAATTAAATCAAGTTGCTTTACAGAAATAGAAATGCAATACTGATTATAACTTCCTCTTCTCAAGGACAAACAGGATGTATAACTCCTTCGTCACTAACTTTCATGATCAAGGACAATGTTGTAGTAGATCACTATTAACAAATATTGTGGGATTCATTTTTTCATAAATTTCTTTTGTTAAATTAGGTAAAAAATTATTACAAAGTATTTAAAGAAAATACATAACATTTTTTATTACATAGAAACATTATTTTTTTTACTGTAACTAACAATTTGTAGTAAAATAGAATTTATTTTACCCACAAATTCTCTGAACAGTTCATGATTTGTATCTTGATATCTATTGATTAGATTTAATAATAATTTGCACAAAAAGTAGTTAGTAGAATGTTTAATAATTTAAAAGAAGTGTGCAATGTATTTTTCTTATGAAAAAAATATTTAGAGTCTGGCATTGAGTATTTGTAAATGCGTTGCATCTCTTTCTTTTTATTGAATCTTTTATGATTCATCCCTTTCTTTCTTTTTTTCAATAATTCGCAGATATATGCAAAACGCAAAAAACTATGGAATTGTGGTCGCCATCTATCTTTTTTGTTTCATAACTGTGTTTTTTATGTAATTTAATTTACAATTAGATTTAAGCATAAGAAAAAAGACATCAATAATTAGATGTGGGATATTTATATTCCATTTATACACAAGGAAGAAGGTGTTAATATTATTATCGTGGATTGTTTACTTATTTAGACCCAAAAGAAGAAATACTCGCCGAGAGAATTTAGCATTAAGTTGTTTAGATGTATGTTAGTTGTAAGATCATTGTATATCAAAACAGAAATAAAAATAAATTATCCTTAGCTCATTATTGTAAATTGTAAATTAAGAATAATACTGAATTAATCAGAGGGAAATTAGAATTCATTATATTAATTATAAATCAGTGTATAAGATCTAATATTTTGAAATATTATTCTATCTTACATGTTAGTCGAATCACTAATCTTAGTAAAATGTAATAATTGGTAAAGTATAATCAAAGTTTTGGAAATTTTTAATAAAGTATAACTATTTAAACCTATCTTCAAATATCTGTATACTTTATTCCCTTCTTTTGTTTCTTATGAATGAGATACAAAATTTATTTAACTGAAAAACAACTCGTCAAATGATTGTTGTCCATTATGTCCGATAAGCGAAAAATTATAGAATATTTGAAAATTTATAACGCAATTTTTGTTTTAATCTAGTATATATCAGCATAAAGCAAGTGTATTTTATATGTATTCGTCCGCAATTCGATTAAATGACAGTTTTGTAGCGTTTAAAATAAATATTCACTTATTTATACAATATTTTTATCTTACGAATGCGTACATTTACATTGTACTGAATTACAGAATGTTTTATAACGTTGTGTTTATTATCTACTTTCACATAATTTTATTTTCTCTTTGTATGGAGATCTATTGAGCGAGTCTTACGTGAACATGACAGAAGGTGGGTAAAAAAGGACCAAAGTCTTTTTGGAAACTGTATATAACCTTCTTTGAATTTTATTTTAGTCTGCGAGTACTTTGTATCTCCCTCGTATGTGTTTAAGTAATTATTTTTGAAAAGTTTTACGATAATTTCCCTGATGATGTTTCAAAATGATTGTTCAAAGTCAAGACACGCATTATTGATTCCACTTATATCGCCGGAAACTTCGATGATCTTGTAATCAGCAAGCTGTCTTTAGTCGTGTGTGCGTGTGTGTAGGTGTGTGTCGAAGAATAGTGTGTCCCAAGATTATCGGGACTAACGATCCATCGAGCGTCTCTCACCTGAAACAGTCGTGACTTCGCCGCCGTGGATCACACACGAGTTCCTCTCTCCTCCCACAAGGACCAAACGCGTTTTACTTCTCAGATTAAAAAGGACAATTACGAAACTCTTCTAATTGTAGGTAGACAGTTTCCATTCAATTAATTCATAATTGTCACCGATTTGTAGCTAATGACAAATGATAAAAGATGGTAAAAGTTAATGTTAAAAAATTCCAGGTTTTAAGCATTCATAAAATGTATAAATATTCCACAACGAAGGAAAGAATATATCGCAGACGAATTAAATTACTCTCAATTTTTTTAAATTCTGTCGTAGATTTCTAAATTTAGATCTACGTGTAGGTTTTTTGTGAAATAATATTTGTGTGAAAAGTGGAATTCGTATAAACTTCCACCGTTTGTTGATGATAAATAGGTAGCAAATGTTTCTATATTTATTTACTAGTATTATTCTTTTTTTCGTGTAACGAAACCTTTAATAAACGAAATTAATTTTTGTACAATGAACTTCAATTTTTTACATTGGTATAGTTAACACATATAAAAAAGAAACATTTAGAAATAAATTTTTGTATATTATCCTTAGAGTTTATAGTAAAAAAGAATAACTATAAAATTGAAAATTAAAATTTGAGTATTTTGTTCTATATTTAAGAATTGAATTCAGCTGTGTTAAGACGCAATAATGGAAACGTAATCTTATTCGTTTTAAATTTTCTCGTTTCAAATTTTATTATGACTTATTACCTTTGCAATTATCATATTTCCTTATTCAAACCATTATTTTAATATTTATTTAATGTGTCGGTACATTACATACTTTTTTACTTCTGACAAAGAAAAGTTTTAAATTCATGAACCTAATTTTTTTAAACGACTTCGTTAAAACAAAAAGATTTATTTCATACCTTGTACCGAAATAAAAATTGTTTCAAATACTTTTCGTGATTATAAGCGTTTAACGTTTCATATTAGAACAAAGTCATTCTTAATAAAAACACTTTTGAAATGAAAAATTTCATCACAGTATGATACAAAATTGTTTTTATTAAATCAGTTTCTACAGTAAACATAAAAAGTAACTATTTACCATTTCAAATAACTTCTTTTCAGGTCTGTCTATTAACAAAATGACAGAATATCGAAATCTGCTGTGGCTTTTATTGAGTTGCGCTTTCTTCAGCGCATTTGTTGCATCCGAGGACCATGCACTACTAGTGAAAACGAAAAATGGAACTTTGTCGGGACTGGTTATGAAAACCAGACGTGAAAGAGAGTTCGTTGGTTTCCGGGGAATTCCTTACGCACTGCCACCACTTGGAGAACTTAGATTCGAGGTAAGATCATCTGTATATCCATTTAAATTGAATATTCGACTCGTAACTCGATATAGATGGTATACACAAATTTAATGTAAAAATATAAAGGTCATTTCCAGGAAAAGTTATCAACTTTTTCTAAAGCGAATAAATAAACTTAATGATTCAATTACGATGGAAACGTGTATAAGTAGGTTAAAATATAACATTACATTAAACCTTAATCGGACCATATAAATTGTTTGTTTACGAGGATTTGTCATTTTACATAAGTGTAATTATATATGCGATAATCTTTAACTTAACACCATGTTTGCAAGCAAATCCAAAATCATGGAAATTGTTTCTATGAATTCTCTCTATATATTACAGTACGGTGCACCTTGAATAAAAATGCATCGTCAGTAATTAAAGAGAACATTCTCAGACATGAGAAACTTCAAGCAAGGTAAAAATATTCCAAGCGTGTATACCTATATATTCATATCCGTACACTGAATGACATAAAGAATTTCTAATTGACGTTCCTCAATATCTTTTTTCTCTGCATTGACAATACATAGTACACATAAACGACTCCGTAAAGTGATTTTAATTGAGATATTGGAATGTCTTTCCGCATTGTTGTTTAAAGTACATTTTTGGATAGATACCTGCGGATTTATTATAAATAGATTCAAGGTTCGAAGAATATTTGTAAACCGAGAAATAAATATTTGATCGACATGTATTGAAAGAAAATTCACGAAGTCAATATTTTATTTTGCATTCATAATTTATAAATGATAAACTTATGAATCATAAACTCGAAGGTATCTCTACTTGAGATTGAAATTGAAACCAGGATAATAACAGGTCTCACTATGGTCGTCTGTTATTAACTTTCGTATTAACTGAAATATTGATTATAATTCCTCGAAACATTTGCTAGCAATAATTCGTTTTGGTTTCAGTCTTTATAGTGACAATATTTTGTTAAATGAAACATATTCTTTTTAAAAAATTTCTGAAGTATGTAAAAAACAAAAATTGTTGATCTTTTGAGTATCATTTCATGCACTGTGACATTTAATACAAAATTAATTTAAAGTTAATGCAAAATACGAAATTGTCTCTGATAATGAACGTATTGATACTTCATTTGCTGTCATGTTCATCTAATTTCGCTGTCTAATGGTTATCAATAAACACACGACAGCGCTAGTATCTATTAAATATGCTGCCATCAAAATGTTAATTTATTAGTCTGTTGTAAAAGATAACATTTTCAAATCAAACAAATTGTTAATTAGTCTCTCACGATTTAATAAACGTGACTATATTATAATTCAGGTTGATAGGTATATGTAAATAGATACCTAATTAAAGATAGATATCTTTAGCAAAAATAAAATTAGGGAAAAACAAAATGAAATTAGAAAAATTATGAGTAGACGCAGTTGATTGCAAAAGACTAATTAACTCATTTAGTTTCTTGTTAGTAGATCGTTAGTAGATTGAGACAAGTTTTCAAATAACAGTTAAATTTGCACTGGATTGAACTATGTTCCACTGCCTTTCGTTTACTATCTTATTTATTATTATGTTTCACTACCAAATAAAAAACCTGTTTTCGTCAGTTCTATCTAATGATGTAATTTTACGATTCATTACGAAATTCTCAGAAATGTGTACGCCGAAGTGTCATGGCAACTTTTCATGCTCTCACTCCGAAGAATTCCTTTTTTTTCTACAAATAAACTCGCTCTCGATTCAACTATGTGTCCACTTTTCACACACCTCGAGTTATTAATTGCTCGAAGCCTTCATTCACTGAATCGTATTACGCTAGTTGTATATATATATATATGATATTTCCTAACATGTGAGAAATGTGTAGATATCTAAATATTCATTTGGTGTTCACATACTCGAATCTTTTTACTCATGTGTTACCTCAGCCGAGATCATTTTTATTCGTATTAACACGTATGAAAATAGCCAATAGAGTAATGTCATTAGTCAACTTCTAACTTTTCCGAATAAAATTCTTTCTAATCGCGTAGCATTGCAGAAACGTTCTTTCAGATACATCTGTCGCAAGTAACATTACTTACGATAACTTGACATAACACGTATGGTCACGTGACGAAACACGGATACGACAAATTTTTGCCGAGAAAATGTTTAACGATGGTGGTATTATTAGGCATAATTTATCATGCTTTCAAATCTCCTTTCCTATGCATGTTACCTACAATGTTTTTTCACCTGTAGGGTACGTCAGGGAGAAATGGCCCACTTTTCTTAAGTAAACTACACGGGTTGGAAACAGTTATTATATTAGTTTCGGTTCTTCATACAGTTGTGAACAACCGAAATAAAGTTATAACTGTTATTCAGTATATCTATATTCTATTCTATTGATATTATTTCTAATATATAAATAGGCATGACTATTATGAAAGAAACCAGTTATGGAACCGAGAACGTTTTTTTTCTAAAAGAAATGCAGAACTGAAAAATAACCGTTATAGTACCGACGTAGAACCGATACAATATTAATCCTAAATATCCGGAACCGAAACTGATGTAACTTGGAATTTTGATATCTCGAATAACAGTTATGATTTTATTTCGATTCGCCATAGCTGTTTCAATCAGAACCGATATATAATTTCATACAGTTATTTTCAGATACATCATAAATATCATTAATACCTAATAAAAGAAAATATATTTATGAAAGTAATGCAGATAAGTTAAAGAGTTAAATGGGCTTCCGTGTAAGATTCAATATACCACTAAAAACAATTGAAAATATAAGTGTTTGACAATCTATTAAATACTGGAAGAACTTCATGTGCTTTTCACTTGTGCAATCGGTATTTCACTAGTTTAATCAATGAAATTGGTATTAGCAGCAAGTTATGTTTATGTCGTTGGCACAAAATAAAATAAAATTATTTCAGAAAAATATCCTCTGTGTTTAAAGTTTGATTTTAAAACTCGCAAAGACATCTCACCCTGAGTTACCCTATCAGTTGCCCCAAAGAAGCAGCACGTTTCGAGGCATACATGCTCGACTTAAATTAAATTTGTTCATTTGAAACTTCCTGTTTGAGAGAATTAAGATTGATAGCTTGTAGAGTACGTGTACAGCTTTCACAGTATTAAAACGATGCAGTGATAAAGTTCTATTTTAAATTACATATATTTTTTGCGCATTTAATTTAATTCCATCCGGAGCTAAGCTCGATGCAAAAACTCGTACTCGTACTGTACATTTTCGATTTACTCGTTCAGGTATAATCACTTGATCAACAGGTTACGAAATTGAATCGTTGAACGTAATTGCTTCCAGCCGCCAAAGCCATCAGCAGCGTGGAATGGCGTACGACCAGCTAAGGAGGATGCCAAAATATGTACACAGAGAAACATCTACACTCATGACGATAAAATCATTGGCGAGGAGGATTGTTTGTACTTGAATGTGTATACGCCGAAATTACCAACTAACGAAGATAAACTGAAAGGAGGATATCCCGTTATGATCTGGCTACACGGCTGCGGATGGATTTGCGGCGCAGGCCATTCTGACTTTTACAGTCCGAAATTCTTGCTGGACCATGATGTGATTCTCGTCACTGTGAATTACAGGTAAGAATACTGCATGTCTTGTAACTTCCGGTACAATCTGGAAACAGGTGATTTTATATGGAAGAAGTTAAATTCATCCATATTTTACCATTTAAAATTGTGTCTGTATTATTTTATAATGTAATGGGTGGAGGCACCAGAATTAGATTTTTCTTAGAGAAAGGCTAGTCAGATTTTGGAAATCACGGTTTTACATGGGAAATTAAAAGCTTAGAGTTAAATTTGTTCATTTGAAATCCCCTTTTTGAGTAAATTAAGATCGATAGCTTGTAGAGTATACGTGTACAGATTTCACAGTATTGAAATGATGTAATTATAAAGTTCTATTTTAAATTGCATATATTTTTCACTGGAAATGCCATGAAATACTCGGGATTTCCCGGTTTTCTAATCGTGTCAGAGGAAACTGGGTTCTAGGAGTATCATGTTATACGAGAGTTTCCTGCTTGGGCTCCATGAAAACTATAAAAGAGTTTAATTAAAATGATCATTATCTGTATTCTTGTATGACTAATACTGCCAATATAATGATTGGCTTTTTATACATTTATGGGAAATTTAGAAATGTAAAATTACATGGAATGCACAAAATGCAAAAGATATATAAAATATCCAAGATGTAGTACTGTTTATAATGTTTCTTAAGGAAAACTACTTTCCACCGTAATTTTATGTTTTTAATTATGTTTATAAAAATTTGAATTTGCATAAAGATTTGCAGTGTAATAATGAGTACGTAATAGACGGAATTCTGTGATCGTATCATTGATTGATGATGTAAGTACGATTACAGAGGAAATATTGTACCTGTAATTATTATTTCACTTTATAATAAAAATTCAATTATCGATATTTATGGATATAACAATTAAACTAAGAGTGAAACAACATTTTTTCTACAGTATTTATTTATTTTTGCATAAGAAATTATCCCCTATACTCTTATAACATACGTTTCACCACATCCAGTGTATAATTGATAACATATATCAATGTTTAATGCTTTCTAGGCTTGGACCATTAGGATTTTTGAGCATGGAAGATACAGTGTTACCTGGAAACAATGGAATGAAGGACCAAGCACAGTCCATTCGATGGGTACACGAAAATATTGCTGCGTTTGGCGGTGATCCGAATCGCGTAACCATCTTCGGAGAAAGCGCCGGAGGCGCCAGTGTTCATTACCACATGATGAGCGATTTGACGAAAGGTCAGTAGTTCTTTCCATAAATATATATTAATTTCAATATTTTCGAAATTTTGTGCTACATTTTCAGAGATAGTAACTTTGATATAATTAAAACATTTAGGAATTATGATATTATTTACAAGAAATAATTGATACACAAGGAATGAATATTCATTTAATTATTTATGGGAGAATACAACTTAACAGAATTTTTACTTCGTATAAATAGACCTTTAGATATCAGTAATGAAAATGATTAAGAAAACTTTTATTTTCTTAGAAAGATATATTGAAAATGTTGAAAAATACATTTTAATCTATATAATTAACACTAATGATGATTAAAGATTTATTTCACTGTTAATGAATTCAGTATTGCATGCAGAAAGAGAACTTTAGCATTTTGAATCTAATTATTTGCAGAAAGATAGTAATACTGTTTATTAACATAATAAATTGAATACTCAATTAAGTAAAGTAATTAATTATTCTTTGAAGTCAAATAATTGATCCAAGTGTTTGGATTAAAAATGTTACAGCTGGATTATAAATGAAGAATTTGATAATATTAAAATACAATTAATATCGGATGATGACAGGTGTAAATCTGAATGAAGTGAAAATTAATTTAAGCCGAAATAAACAACATTCATGGAGTAACATTAAAATAACATTTAAATAATAATTTTTGAAAAATAATCTTTGACATTCAGAAATTTGAACAATATTTTACATATCAAAGCAACAGGTTCTTTCGTATTAAACTTTTTTCCTTAAGGAAATTAAATCTCCATTACAATTGCCATGTATCCAAATACAAGAGTATCTGCCTGTTAAAAATAAGTAAGATGAACGTGATAACTGCGAATCAATTTGCAAAGCGATTCGTAACAAATTTTTATTGTTGATAACGCTGTTACAGTAATCAGGACACAATAATTCTTTTATTTTAACTAGCTCCACGAATTAAGTTTCGTAACAAGTACCAATTACTCAGGTGTACAGAACAAACAAATTATCACGGACTTATCAGGATTCCCACAAATACACGTACTGAATTCAAAATGAATTTTCTCAGGAAAACGCACGATCAGGAAAACTGCGCGACCGTGCCCAAGGCCACGAAATGAAACTTCTTGCAAAGAGAGAAAAAAAATCTCTGATTGCACGTTATTCATAGAATACTCATTACAACCACGCCTTCTGTCGAGTACCCGGCAATCAAATTTTCATAATGAATTCTTTCCCGGTTGAACTGTTCAAAAATAGGACTTTTCCATCGCGGTATCTCTCAGAGCGGAAACGGTTACTGCCCGTGGGCTGTGGCTAGACCAGGTTCAGCGAGGAAGAATGCCATCAAACTGGCTGACCTGTTGGACTGCCCTACGAAAAACACGAAAGACATGGTTGCCTGCCTGCAAAAGAAAAACGTTTTAGATATCATCTCTACTGATCGTGCTTTTCAGGTAATTATTTCAACAAAGTCGGTTGGTATTAGGTACCGGAAGAACTTCTATGAGTTTAAATTCTAATTTACGAATTTATTCTGCTACCTAATTGTTTTCTCAAATAAGACTTTAATCATCTGTAATTCCTTTTGAATATATTATTAGGTCACCCCATAAGTAACATCATTCTTTTATGCTGATTTTTAGTGTAAATTAATACTGACGATTTGTTTAATCGTCGATATATTATATTGATCGTCGCTGTCTATGATTTTTCCCCATTTTTCGATTAATTTTTTAGTACCATTTTCGAAATAGCATTAAAAAATATTCTACAAAGTGGGATAAGGGACGGTATTACTTATAGGATGACCTAATATATTTTCATTTTTTATTTTTGCAATTTATTATTTTTTCATTTTTTTATATAGACATTTAGATTTGAAAAAGTATAATAAAATCGTTACTAGTGTATGCGTTGCAAATTTTTAAATAATATTTCAAATGTTTAAATAAACTGAAGACCACGACAGGGAATCAAAATAATCCCCTTATGTTTGTGTATAATTTTCTTAACGGTTAACTAAGTTCATTATTTTAGGTTTATAAAAGTTATTAATCCTGGAGTTAAAGAAACTTTTCGAAAGTTCCTTTCACAAGTTTCTATATGTCAAATTTATTTTATTTATTGCTTCTAAAATGACCACATTGGTTTACATTTATTCAATAACATTGATGCTTTCTTAATTTTATTAATTTGCACGTATCTCGGATAATAAAATTAAATATTTATTAAGAAAAATATACAGAACCCTGTGAAAACTGTGGAATTACATAGTGACCTTTACTTCAGGGACATTTTCATTAATTTTGTAAATCATTCTTTGCAAGGTTCCTCAAAAGTCTTTGTCTTTTCTTATTTTGTGTTTTCTCAGTACTTAAATGTTCTCCTTGCAAGATATTTTTCATTTTTAAAAATAAGGAAACATTACAGTTGATGAGATCAGGTGAGAAGAGGTGGTGGGAGGGAAACGCGAAAGAAATGCGAAATATTTTATCGGATTTGAGATGATGACTGGCATATTTGCGTGTAATAAAAATATCAGTACATAGAAGTGATTCATCACCTGACTTTGAAATTTACATTAAGCATAGATGGAACTAACAACTTAATATTAATGCCATCCAAATTATTATAATAAATAGTGTGAGTAATCTGGGAAAATGTTCTATAATTTTTTTATTCATATGATACAATCTTTTGATCGTATACTGTATTTAAAATGAGAAAATAAAATTTCCAGGTTTTTTAATTTCGAATACAAGAAAACGTCAGTGTATTAATAGAAGGTTACACTTTTTTATTAATTCTCTCAAATTATTATAAATAACTTCATTACATCTTTGAACGTTTATATTAGGCTTATTTTATAAAGCTTTTCAAATATTAATCTAGAAAAATATGCGAAGAAATTAATTTTTAAAAGTTTTTGGTTAGTTATATTTTTTTAATCTTTATTCGCGAGTTGTGGATATCTAGGTAATGCTTTAAGTCATTCCAAATTATGTTAAATATTCTGTGGCTTTAATAAATTGTTTTCAATATTTCATGAAACTATCATTAATATTGATCGATGATTCAATGCTGGGAATCACCAGCATTGACGGTTTTTCTAAGATTTTCCTAAAGATAAATTTTTGATAATAAATTTTGAACTGCCATTAAATTAATTTTACCTAGTAAGTTTACAAAATAATAAATATTTATTCTTTTTTCTCTGCTGCTTAAAATTTATCCGGTTATTATTTATGAAACAAGTTTAGATTAGCAAGTCGCTTCTGTGTACATTCATAAATACATTCAAGTCAGGCCTTGGCATTGAACATTAACGTATTCGCAAGACGGCAACGTTCGTAAATTGATCTTCATTACATAAGTTTATCTTGAAATCTAGAACGAATGGAAAAAAATCATCGTGGCAATATACGGTTTCGTAACTTATAATTGCGCTTGCAAGTTTGTATAGTACATCATGTTCCAATGTTGTCAAACGTAAATTGTATATTTCTTATCTTAGAACCAATCTCGCATCAATCGAAACACATTGATCTTGAATATTCCCATCCACTAATAAGCCTCTGAAACCTTGAATAATCTTATTCTGGAATTTGCTTATCGATAGAACTATTTTAATCGAATATCAGAAAAGAAGAAGATGAATCTGGTCTTAGTCCTGTTCTTTGAAATTAACGAAGTTTTAATTTAACTTAATTAAATATTTTCAAAAATTGAATTCTTAGTTAATAAATTTATTCTAAAATCACGAGTTACATTATTAATAAAAATATTTAAATTTTTCATAGTCTTCAATGGTTTTATGGCAGCTGCATTTATTTATTCACAAATGCGTGTAATTTAGTATGCAAAACGATTCTCCACATGTCGAAATATTTTCTTACAATCTTCATTATAGATTTAATCAAGTGTCAAAGTACATAGTGCGTATTATTCAAGCAATAATGATTTCAACCTGTGGGGAAACCAGTTTCGTGCATTCGTGAATACATTATACACACTCTGTATAACGTAATATTTATTTCCTAGAGAGTTCAAATTGTTTAAATTATATCTTTCAAAATGTTGTATGTCATTCATTAACTAAAAAATAGTATTCATTGAAGATTTCAATCAAATTTTATTTTTAGATTGAATTTAGTATTCAGTTTGTGTCCACGTAAAAAGAATAGCCAATTAGTGTCTAGACCTAGAGAAACAAGATAATGCGTTGTAATGGAAGAATTACTAGCAATTGTTTTGAGCAAAAAATGTTACTGAACGTGCCGATTTACTGAAAAGTCAGAAGGAACGCTACAGTGGTAAATAATTGTGGTTCTCCGATAGCGAAGTATGTTAGCACGGTCGGAAGTGAAAGCGTCCACAAAACAAGTAATAACTCAACTGTATTGTCCTTCAAGATTTATCTTTGACTTTATTTTTTTACTGGTATTGAAACGTAACATTAACCATGTAGACGACCATTACGTTACCGAATGATTTATTATTTCCTCCTAAAGTAATGATAGTATTAAATGAATGAAATATCTGATTTATTTATTAAATAATAATTGTAGGCAGTGAAAAGTAAAGAATATTGAAGTTTATTCTTCATTATCTTTTCAAATTATCTTTTCAAAAGAATTACTTTTTCTACAAGAATTTGTTGAAAATGTGAATTTAAAATCTGACTGTATCCGATTCTAAATTTGCTGAAAATATCACAAATAGTGCAAGTATTTTTAAACTGTCTTAAGGTTTTTTAATTAGGAATGTCTTTTAACAAATTCTGTTAAAATTAACGATTTGATAAATTGTACTAAATTCTATTGATTATTATTGATGTACCATTTTATCGATTTATACTGGTATTAAGTTTTTTTTCAATATTTTCCAGGTATTTGGTTACTGTCCGATGATACCCTTCAGACCAGTAGTTGAACCCATTCATCCTGGCGCTTTCCTAACGGAAGATCCTGCAGTCTCATCAAAGAATGGTCGACTGATGGACATACCATGGATGACAGGAATTACTTCCGAAGAAGGAGCTCTTGTTGTACCAGGTATTTCTAATTTAATGCATAATCATATAATTTTTATATCAAATTATATTATATTTTCCTATTTCATTCTAATATTATTGTTTAGAACATTGATTCTTGAATAATATTTCAAAATTAAGATTCCAATATTTTGGTCATCTTTCAAGTTCTTTGTTACATCATTATTAATATATTTAAATTACATTTCTAATTGTTCATTTTTCATTAATAATTATCTTACATTAATTACTCTTTACATATTACCTTTTTAATAACTGCTTTGTCAAAAATTCATGTAAATTAAATTTCATTAGGACTATACACACGCAACAACGGAGCATTAGTGAAGAAACTAAACGATGATTTCTTAAATATTGCCCCTATAACATTCCTTTTCGGACAATCGTGTCCTACAGAGGATATAAAACGGGTCGCCTCCGAAATTCGAGAATTCTATTTTGGCAAATCGTCAATCGACAATGCTACACGATTCAATCTTATTGATGTGAGTATATCTATTTATAAAATTTTGCTCTAACGAGGTTCAATAAGTTCTAAAAATACTATGGTAATTATTACTTTATATATTTTCAAATAGCTATACTGAAAAACATATGTAGTTTCGCGAAACACAGTTCTGATTAAAAAAAATGAATTCTGATATCTCTTTAGCGCTAGAAAATCAGATAATTTTCAATTTTAATTGTTTTAGATAGTGAATATTCTTTTATGCATGTTTCTTCTACTTCAATATCAACAAAATATGAAATTTACGGTACAGAAAAGGAAAAATATCATACCTTACTAAAATTTATAGAAGAACGCGTCAGTCTCATAATTTTATAACTTATAAAATATAATTTATCGTTTTAAAGTGCCATAGTCGATAATGGACCGCATAAAAATCAGACAAAACTTATATAGTGGTTTCTACTGTTACTAGACAAATATCTGACTAATGTGTTTTAAGTCTAAATATCTTTTGCCGATAAAAAAGAGCAATAGATAACAATAAAAATTATTATATAATTACAGATTACTATATTGTTATATAAAGAACTTAATCAATTATATTGATTTATAGTTGTACAGCGATGCTTGGTTCACTTATGCTGCTCATAATTCAGTACACGACTACTTCGAGAAGCAGTCAGCTCCTGTTTACTATTATTACTTGGCTTATCGAGGAACTGCATCATTCAGTAGTATATTTGGTGATCCGGATAATGACTATGGAGTTTGTCATGCTGATGATTTACAGTATTTGTTCCCTGTTGGAGAGCAGTTGTTTAAAGACAAACCTCTCAGCGAGAAGGATCACAAAATGGTTGATATCATTACGAGTCTGTGGGTCAATTTTGCCACTACTGGGTAAGCGTTTTAATTTTATCTTGACTTTAATCATTAACAAACATTCTTTCTAAACAGAAATAACTGAATCCTAAACGAATAAAAAAACATATTTGAACACGAACAAATAAAAGCAATATTTTTATCTGATTTTAGAAGCTCTAAGCTGTTAATTGTTTAAAATTTTCGAATTTATGAATATTTAAAATTTTTATTCAGTTATATTAGAAATTCATTGAATTAATATTTTCTATTATATATTTACTTAGTTTTGAATATATTTCTTTTTATTTAAAAACTTATTTTGCGCTGTGATAAGTTGCATTTGATTACAAGCAATTTGCTGAGCTGCGAACATTGCAGTAATTTGTTCGTTTGTTAATATCGTCCTGTTAATTACTGAATAATAAATGGTTTTTCAGTAATCCTACGCCCGAAATAACCAAAGATATACCTGTAAAATGGAAACCAGTGAGAACAGAAGCTCTCGAATACCTTCGTATAGGGCAAGATCGAATTGAAATGTTGAAGAACCTTAAGGAAAAGAGGATGAACTTCTGGAAGCGTTTGCCGATCCGGCCTGACTTGATCGACAGCGGCAAACAGACACAGAAAAAAGACGAACTGTAAAAACTTCGTAGGAATTTTTTTTACGACTACGCGGGTCGTTGGGTATAGTAAAACTGAATAAATAATCGGCATAGAATGGTGTATATCACACCTTCGGCCTCGAATATTATGTTTTCTCGCTTAAATTTACAGAAATTATATAATTATGGTTCATATTATCACATTGGAATTATCTGACAAGGCTGTTTCTTGTGTTATGAACATACGATAAACGTGCTTTTTCGCGCTCCACTGTTCTTATGAATTATGCGCAAACATTGAGAAATATTGTATTCATACCACTAATTCAAACTATTACGTGTGCATCAGAAAATGTTCTTTTTGTAATATTATTCTACTGATCGTTATATCATTAAATGATATGTAACAAGTATTTTATTACAGAATGCTGCGATAGTAGCTTTTACAGAAATTTTATTTAAATAACGGATGAAAGAAAACAGTGCAATTTTGTTTCAATGAAATTTTATTCATAATAAATCAATTCATACTATAATCAATAAATAGATAATCTACAAATCATCTTGTCCAATTAAGTGGAACTTATCGTTAGCTA